ATTTTTTTCACACAACACACAGTCAACCTGTGGAACTCCTTGCCAGAGGATGTTGTGAAGGCCAAGACTATAACAGCGTTCAAAAATACGTTCATGGAGGATCAGTCCATCAATGGCTGTTAGCCAGGATGAGCAGGGATGGTGTCCCTAGTCTCTGTTTGCCAGAATCTGGAAATGGGCGACGGGATAAATCCCTTGATTACTTGTTCTGTTCATTCTCTCTGGGGCACCTGCTTTGGCCACTGTCAGAGTACAGGATACTGGGCTAAATGGACCTTTGGTCTGACCCAGTATGGCTGTTCTTATGTACACTTAAAAGTTTTCTCGGTATAACTATAGTGGTAAAAACTTCCTGGTGTAGATGCAGTTGTAGTAGCAAAATAAGTCCTTTTGATTTGTAAAGCTTTTTCTGGTTCAACAAACAAAATAAGTTATATCAGCAAAATCTGTTTTTTCTGGTGTAACTGCATATATTGGGGATCTTGCAGGCATAGTTAGGTCATGTTAATCAAAACAAACAAAAAAATCACAACCCTAACCAAAATAGCTATGCCAGAAAAGCTTTTCAGTGGCTTTAGGGTTTTATACGGTCATCCATCACCTAGTATCTGAGCACCTTCCATATACAATTGATATCCATAACCAAGTCCCTTATGGACCTCATAGTCTCTGACAATTCTCACTTCTCAAGGTAAAAGGTCTGGTTTGGATTAAGTTTATTTATGTGGTTGCTTGGTTTCAGATTGTGGGGATTTCTTTGGGGGTTTGCTGGAAGGGGCTGTCACTGTTTCAGGTCCTCTTCTCATCTGTCAGCTGAGTCGCCCATCCCAGATCCTAGTCTGACATTTTTATTGGTCAGACCCTTTCTGTTACACGTTTTCTAACATGACTTTCCTATCTTCTCTTGAAATCCTGGAATATAACCAGATAACCTTTAGTTTCATGAAGTCAAGGCCTGATGTCAGGTTACATTTGCACTAGTGCAATTTGAGCACTCAATGTGTGCACAATTGCATATCCTAAAGAGAGTGTTTATCTACATCAATGGTGCTAGATACACACTGGCACATGCAAATGCCCAATCTGGTGCACACTATTGTGGTAACTAAATACCCAAACTTGGCAATTTGCGTCCCGGTGTCCTGAAAATCGGACCCAATCAATTGTATTTTTTTTTATTAAGAGTGTTGCAACATTCATGTATTAATCTCTATGGCCTAAATAAAATTCTTTGAGCCCTGTTCCTACACTGCCTCCCCAGTGAATGTCAGCGGTTCAGGACTAGGCTGGCAGTCAAGAAACCCAAATTCTGTTCTCTCCTCTGACATTAGCTCCTCATCTGTCAGCTATGGCTAATGACACTGACACATCTTTGTAAGGCACCCTGAGATCTATGCTGAAAAGTGTTCTGTAAGGGATGTGTGGTTATTATCTACGTCTTTATTCTCCAGTTACAATGAATATTTGGCTCATTGGCTTATTATTGTGAGGCTACTTATGAGTGATGGGGCTGTGCGCGATGGCTTGGTTTTTGTAGGGTTACTCAGTGTGTTGGGCTGTCATGCTGGTATGTTTCTGTAGGGTTCTAGGAGGTTGAAATTGATTCACTTTTTAGGGCCAAGCCCACTAACATAAATTTAAAAAAAAAAAAAAAAGAAAGGAGAATCTAGAGAACACTCCCACCCATATCTAGGAATGGGAATCCATTTTATTTTTTATTAGTAAAATACCCTTGACTTGTACCCTAAGTGCAATGGACAGACCACGTTCTTGTTTATGGACCTGGCTGTATACAGAGATCAAATCCAGCTGCGCTTATGTAAGCACAGCCCCCCTAACCTCCCACGGAGTCAATAGACATTTTGCCTGCATAACAGTGACATAGTCTGGATCTAAGGATTCAGCCCAAAATGCACCAAGAGCTCTGCTTTCTAAGAAGGAATCATTTAGGGTCTCCCATTGAAACTAGACCATTTAATTCAGTAGCAGCAAGATCGGGCACTATGAGCCCAATCCAAAGCCCCTGAAGTTGATTTGAAGACTCCCATTGATTTTAATAGGCTTTGGAGCAGGCCCCTTGTTTTGTAACCTGGTCTGACATGAGAAATGCCACTTCAGGTGGAATGTCCTCAGTCAGTGCACGCATATGCCATCAGAAACATCTTTATACCAGTATAACCAGTCCACCCTTAGGGGTTGCACCAGTTTAACTAAATAGGTTTCTTTCTATCGATTTTAGTTAAATCAGTACAAAAACTTTGTAAATAAACCCCGATTCACCGATGTGGGATAAGGACTACCTCTTATATTGTTTTTGCACAGCACTTATCACAATAGAGCCCCAAGCTTGGTTGGGGCTTCTCAATGCTACTGTAATATAAATAAGATAAGATAATAAATGACAAGGTTATTCTGTTTCCTGGTTGGCTGACTGCAGCTTTTAAACAGGGATAATGGTCTGAATATATGGACAAATAATCATTTGTGAAGATTTTGCACTTCCAGACATACCCGGTAGTTAAACGAATGCTTGCAAATAGAGAATAACATGACCACGCTTCCCTCAACAACCTGAACTCAGTACTTTATTCACTATTACTTTTGCAAATCTTTATTTTTTTTTTTAACTGATCAGCTCTGATAATGTTTGATGCCTTCTCTTGAGAAAACAAGAGCTGGCCATTAGTTTGTGATGGTACTCAGAGCCCAGAGCTGGCTATCTGATCACTCTCAAAGTGACTTTGAAAGGCATTGATTTTACTGCCACTACTAGTAACCATCCTCTTGTCTTCATCAAGTGTGAAGGGCAATCACTGTAGGTGAGATAATTAGGAAACTAATTACTATTCTTGATGAAAACACAAAAACTCCATTCAAAATAAAACCGTATGTGAGAATTATGAGCAAAAAGCAGGACAAATATTTACCAAAATGGGTCCGTGCATGATGAAAATGCAAATTCCACTTAAGAGAAGCAGTAGGACAATAATACTTTGCATCTGTAGATTACTTTTTTATATACTTTTTTCATCCTCAAACCACTTCATAAAGGGAGGTCAGTATCATTTTTTTTAAGATTGGGGGGGCGGGGGAAACTTCAGCAAAGAGGTGGAATGACTTTCCAGAAGTCTCAAAGCAAAGTCTGCACTACAACCCAGGTCTCCTGTCTCCCAGCCCCACGGCTATAACAACTAGACTGCTTTAGCCTTTTGCCTCTGAAAACTGTGATATCCCCAACAAGCCAGTCTGCCTAACCAAGCCAGCATCTGCACTTGGCATGCTCTTTAAAGCCTATGACCCGTAGAATTGCCAGCAGTTACAAGTTAGCTCACAGCTCTTTCTAAGCAAGCACCTTTATTTTAAGGGGAAAGCATTACAGAGAAAACATATTAAAATATATGTTTAATATGTACATGCTTGCAGAGATCACCACCCGCCCCCAACTCCAATTTCAGGCTATGACAGGTGTCAGTCCTTCCAACCCTTCCCTAAGGATTGGGACCCCCGGCCCCTGCCTTGGACAGAAGGTCCTGTCTGTTGGCTGGATCTGAGAGAGCCCTTAATTTAAACTCAGGCTATTAATCCAAAAGTCCTTTCTTTGTCCAGTGGCTTCTGGAGAATCCATTTTGAAGCAGTATATGTGAGCCTCTCCAGGTGGCAGTGCCCCTATGGACATGTTAAAACCTGAGTGAATTTGCCTAAACATCCCTCCGCCTCCAGCCACTGTTCTTCGTTCCTGGAGGGCTGTGGTCACTCTCTCCAATGGAATTTCATACAGTCGCAGGCCCACAATGAGTCCTCCCAAAGATATTGCAGGAGATTGCCATATATGTGTGTCTCTCTCTAGGAGTGAGTGGGTAGTTCAGTCTCCACGGCCTGTCTAGTTCTTGGCCTTTCTGTTGAGACAGCCAGTTAGGATCGGTGGTTGTGATGTAGATGCTAGGAACTGAGCTGAGAACCTCATGTTGCCCAAGTCACCAGACAAACGTCAAAAGCCGTTGCTACCTAATCACCCATTGCAATGAGTCACATTTGAACTTGGTGATATATGGCCTGGTGCAGCCACAATGAGAATCAAAAGGACCGGGTTTTTTTGTTCTGTGTTTGTACAGCACCTAGCACAGTGAGGTCCAGGTCCATGATAGAGCCCCTACATGCTACAGGAATACAAATAATAAGGAGTAATAAAAAGGGAAGCCTTTCCTTTGACTTTAATGGCAGTTGGATCAGGTACCTACAGCTCGGATAGCTTCTGTATCTCATTACAAACCTCCTAACCTAGCTAGTTCCCTTACAAAAATAATATTAAAAACCCAATCACTTCTGTGAATTTAGGCCTCTTGTTCATTAAATATTTCCCTTGTAATTATGCGTATTGCAGTAGAAGCTAGGAGCCCCAATCATGTACCAGCCGCCCATTTTGCTAGGCCCTGTACAAACACAGAATGAAACAATGTTTTCAGACCTTCTTCTCTCCAATGCTTTGCCTGTCTTGTCTATTTAGGCTGTAAGTTCTTGGGGCAAGGACTGTCTCTCACCAGCTGACTGTACCGTGCCTAGCACAATGGTCGCCATCTCTGTTGGGGTCTGTAGGCACTACTGTAACACAAATAACATTTATTAAGCAACGTCCTCCACACTGCCCCCCAGCAATGTGTCTTAGCCCAGATCTGGCAGAACCACCTCAGGGGATCGGCAAGAAACTTCAGCCTTCGTCAGTATTGATTTATTATTTATTTGCATTGCTGGAGCATCTAGAAAAAGGACCGGGCCCCACTGTGCCAGGCACTGTACAAACACAAAACTAAAGGATGGCCCCTGCCCCAAAAAGATGACAATTTTAATAATAGTCTCTTACCACTGATGTGGAGCCAGATGCCTCTCTCTAGAGAATCTCTTATTGATCTAAAATGAAAATATTTTTTCTTAAAAGCCATGTTCTAATTATTTTTCTTTCTTTCCTGCCCCCCTTGAATCCCTCAGCTCTCTCCTCTCGTGGTTCAATCATGATGGATGAGGATGATGGATTGAGTGAAAGAGGTCTCAGCAACTCCAGGAAGAGATATGATGATGATGGTAAGAGAAATTCCAGGTGTTCCACAATTTGCCTTGGGAGGCTGATTCTGCTCCCATTGAAGTCCAATGTCAAAACTCTCATTGACTTCAGTGATCGATTAATCTACCTACCTACCTACTTATATGGCCCTCATCACTGCAGTATGTCACAATCATTAATGGATTCGTTCGCCCAAACCCTCCTGGGAGGTAGGGAAGTGCTATCTCCATTTATAGATGAAGAACTAAGGCCCCGGACAGCTCTAAGTGACATGTTCATGGGCACACAGGGACTCTGTGGCTGAGCTGTGAATTGAACCCAGATATCCTGAGTCCTAGTCTAATGCCCTGTCTATCCACTAGACCAATGTTTCTCAGCTCATGGGTCATGACAACCAAAGGGGTTGCAAGGCATTGAAAAACGTATTTGTTCGGAAGAAAAGAAAATCTCACTCCTCACACACCCTTACTCTTCCAAGTCAAGTATTCTCTATCAACTTCTCAAAGCACACTCACAAATAAGACTTCTTGTTATCCTAGATACCTTTTTTTTTACTCTTTTCTATTAAATGTAAGGGGTACATGAATGTTTTTGACTTTGACTAAGAGGTGGACAGTTTGAGAAGGTTGAGAAACCACTGCCTTAGACTTCCTACTAGACAGCTGACGCCCAATCCTGAGAGGTGTTGAGCACCCACAACTCCTGTTGAAGTCTGTGGAAGCTGTAGCTACTCAGCATGTCTCAGAATAGGGCTGTTCAGTTGGTCTGAAGACTACCTTGCAAGGTAATATTCCTTGGAGTAGTGGAATAGAGAAGTGATGCCAAAATTCGAGGCGAAATGGATAAAATTTGTCATGTTTCCATCTAAATAAGGAAAAACGTCCTTTGTGGAGGTGAAACATGGTTTGGCATAGTCTTGCACCCCAATGTATCAGTGGGGATGCGTGTTATGGTGCTTCTAGGGGTGCTGATGAGATGCAGAACCCAAGGGCTTGCCTACTTGTGGACTCCATAGCATCGATGGGTTTGGGAGTAGTCAGACATTTTTGTTAGCATGATAGTAAAGTTTGGTGTTTCAGGCCTAATGGGGTGGGGAGAGCATATGGAAGAACTGGCTTTTATCCACAAGTGAAAAGCTGTGAGGTTTGTACACCCAGAGCCCTGCTTCTGCATGGAAAGTTCCTTGGTGGGTTTCTTTTTTCTCCATTGCAGACTACCATTCCATTTACATCGGGGTGCCAATGCCACGGGGCTACAGGAGGAAAAGGCGCAGACGGAGATCCACCTCCAGCCGGGATAAAACCAGCGAGAATGAAAGGCTCTACGAGCGCCAGGACCGATCAGATACCGATGAAGGAGGGCAAGCAAGCTACGACAATGGGAACGACAACGCCAGCAGGACGAGTAAGTCCCAGTTGTGCTATACCCCGCAATCAAGAAAAGGAATTGGGCTCTCGCTAGATCAGATTTCCTGAGGTGGTCTGTGCGGTCCTCTATAATGCTTGCATCATTTTTTTCAACAAATTGTGTTTTTCATTTAAAAAAACAGGGCTTGAATTCAATTCCAAATTTGGCCAATTAAAAAAAAAAAGGTGAAAAACACCTGAAACTGCCAAATCGAAATGAAAAATTTGAAAACAAAATCATTTGAAGTTGACCGAAAACATTTTGGTTGACTCTAAATGAATCAAAACACTGGGGAAAAATCATTTAGAGGTATAGAAACATTTCATTCAATTGAAAATTAATTTTTTTCAGCTTTTCAACTGGACAAAAACTTTTGAAAGTTTCATTTTGGTTCAGATTTTTTTTTTTTTTTTATTTTTTTATTATTTATTATTCAATTCAGCCCCAGACCCAAAAAACCATTATTCACTCAAGTTTAGTCCTCTGTAGCACTCAGGCTGACATAGCCTTTTGTACCTTCACCACAGGGGGACAGTACTCAGATGTTCCAGAGCTGGCTTTGTACTCCCCTAATTCCCACAGCTGCCAGGGGCCAATTTGGTACTTGGCTGTGTAAGAATGGCCTAAAGGCTTCTCTAAATTATAGGTGGTTGCACTGGCCACAAAGGGTCTGTTCAGGCAGCTCAGGGCTGCTGAAGCACAAGTCTTGTTGCCGGGGTCTCTTTCAGCCCATGCAGTTTAGGAAGAATGAGCTGGATTCAGTTCTGCTTTGTGCAGCATCAGCAAATTTGTCAGGTATGTTCTGACTGTAGAATTGGAACATAAGAACGGCCACACTGGGTCAGACCAGTGGTCCATCTAGCCCAGTGTTCTGGCTTAGGGACACTCGGAGCATGGGGTTGCGTCCTTGACTAGCTTGGCTAATAGCCATTGATGGACCCATTCTCCATGCAATATAATTGTTAGAGATGTTTGGACTGTTTTGTCCAGTCTAATTTTACAAGCCGCCCCCCACCCACCCCAAAAAATAGGACTTCCACCATTTTCCTCAGGAAATGCACAGCTTAATAGATCTCATTGTCAGAAAGCTTTTCTCCTTATATTTGGCATAATTTCATCCGACCACTCATAGCTATACACTGTGTACTAGCTACACCAAATAAATTTCTCTCCATCCTGCATGTTTATTTTGTATTTTGTGTGACATGTGTAGTGTGTTTCCTGTAGTGGCTGGTCCGCGTACATGAGCCTATTACTGTTAATAGCAAATGTGGTACTCCTCTAGTTCAAATGGTAGCCGTCCTTGCTTTTAGTGTTGAAGGTCCTGGGTTCGTTCTCTGCTGATAAAACATGGTAAAGAAAGTAGCATTTGCAGCCTGTAGGTACAATTGTGGTCTCTTCTTCGCTATTCTAAATGGTACCAAAGACAAGAAGAACATAGCCTTAATTTTTCAAGTCCCATGACACCAGGAATTTGAAAACACACCTTTTCCTTTGTAAGCAGAGCAGATGTGATATGTTAGCCTTTGAAAGAGTCCGTATGTAATGCAGCAAGGTCATTTCAGTGCTGTGTTTTCAAAGTGTTATTGTGCTGTAAGTAATTAATGTTATTTCCTACTTCTTACTAAACAATAGAGTTAATAGCCCATATTTCTGGTCATTGAATTATGACTGAATGCAGTGCCTTTTTGCTGACCATTTTCTGGCTTTACTTTTTGCATTTTTTCCATCCTGACTTAATTGCAATATTTATAAAGTGCTTTGAGATCTACTGATGAAAAGCACTATAAAAGAGGTAGGTATTATTTCTCCTAGTTTATTATTCCAATTGCAGTAGTGTCTAAGAACCCTAGCTGAGGGTCAGGGCCCCATTGTGCTATGCAGTACACAGAAAATAACAAAAAAGACCGTCCCTGTCCCAGGGAGCTCGCAGACTAGATGTCAGACAGGACATGACAGGTGAACAGAGAAGACCGGCAGGGGCGGGGGTGGGGTGGTGAATGGGAGGGTGAGTTAGCAGAATGACCAGAATTTAGCAGAAAATGTATTCGTTGCTCTAATATATTTCAAGGTGTCATGTAATCATAGTTGTTAGAGACAGGAAAGACCCTATTGGGTCACATCTAGTCTATTTCTTCACCAGAGTAGGATTGTTCCCTACAGTTTATTCCCTAGAGCCTTGTCCAGTCTAGTTTTTAAAGCTCCTTAGCAAAGATTAACATTTTACATAGCAAAATAGCTGTCAATCTTCGTTTTAGCCCCAATATAGATGTTCTCTTCTTTTTGCTCATTTAAGAGTGCACTAAACCAAACTGCTGTAGGAGCTGGATCACAAAAAGTGACCGGATATAGGAGTTTGCTTCAGAATCCTCTCTTTAAGAGCACAATTTTGTACTCACCATAGATTCTGCTTGCGATTCATTCATGCTTTTCACTGGCAAAGCATTCCAGCAATTCCCTGGCAAAAGTGCACTTGTAAAACCAGAGTACCAGTCTGGAAATCATGCCTCTAATTCCTTATACTTAAACTTTGTTTTCTTTCACTTGGCAAAGCATAGTGTCCCAGTTAGTTATTCAATGTGACTTACATATAGAGGCCGTGCATTAAAGCTAAATGATAGCAAACCTGTAGGATCAACAGCGCAGGCTTGTCTTCTATTTGACGATCTCCAATAAAAGGTGCTGGAAATGGTAAAGGTTTCTGACTGTGGCTAGTTATGGGGAGTACAGTCCTTTGTAGTTGTTGCAAGTTGTTTCTGAATAATGCAGCATTTACAAAGCAAGTGTTCGCAATTGTGTATTTGAAACAGTCTCCAAAGCACTTAGTGGAGCACTCTAACCCTGCATAGAGTCCTCAATTTACCTTACCTTACCTTGAAGGAAATAAATCCAATGCAATATTCCTGATGGATGGATGTCAGTATCTGAAGATGAGGCCCAGCGTGCGTATGATGCAATATGAAGGAACAGTAAAGCACGAGGCACATGGAGAATCCAAAACATTTAGGATTTAAACCAGCTAAAATAGGGCCTGTTCAGCAGTTCAACTCATACTTTGGCAGAACTCCCATTGACTTCTGTGGGGAATTTTGCCTGAGTAAAGAGGCATAGGGCTCTGTCCGTGCTTGGAATAAATATGTGCAGCATTTCTGAAGTTGTAGAGATTATATCAAAACCTGTGCCGCTGTTCCCATCCTCCCACCTCTCTCTCTCATTTCCCCCCCTCTCATTCACTCTCTCTCACACACGCCAGTTCGCTCACCTCTTGTACAGGCATCTCGGTGGATTTGGTAACTTCACGTCATGAGAGCTGAAGAGAGAGGAAAGTGCTTTATATTCTCTATAATCTGCTCATTAAGCTGTGGAGTTTAACAAGACTGAGTGGATAAAGGAGGAAGTTTGGGGTGTTTTTTGTTTGGTGTGGTGTACGTTTAACGGGGCAAAGAATGCAAACCATTCCAGGTAAGAACTATTCCACATGCTATTTCCAGTCTCTTTCCAGTCTTAAAAACCTTGGTGCTCCTGGGCTTTGTTTCTTGCTTACACAAGCCATTTTTTAACTGATCTAGGGGCCGGTAAAACGCGACAGCATTGTTTCTGTTTGCAAGTGTAAGAGAAATTGATTAGCAAGACAGTGTGGCATCTTGGAATCTGATGTGCTTGCTGAAAATAAACTTTTTGGTAGCAAACACAGCTCCTTCATGTCTGAAGGGGTAAGAAAGGTGTTTTTGACTGGTGTCGCTGTCCCTTCCAGCCTGCAAACTGAGCCTTAAAAATGTGGCACAGCTGACCCCAAAAAATATAACACAAGGAGTTTAGCAGTAAGCCCACATGCATGCTAGAGAGAGAGAGCCTTCCATTTTGTAGCCCGTTGCTGCATCACAGTGTTCTGGAAGTGGGATAGAAGAGGCAAATTGCATCTAGAATGGGATGTTGGTCTTAGACAGAGGGATAATTTAGAGCGGTGGGCTGAGCTTTTCAATTTTTCAATTAATGGAAATTGGGCATCTAAATCCTCTAAGTGGTTCTCAGTCCTGAGGTTCAATAAGTGCTGCTGCTGGGATGCTTTATTGTAGAAGGCAGCTAGTTGCAAGGATCATCTCTGTTGAACAACCAGTGTTGCTGCTATCCTTCTTTTTAGGGGGCAAGGAATGGACAGCAAAGGAGAAAAAAGCCCATTGTATGTTCTGATTGTCCTGCAAAATGAGACCTGCAGAAAATGAATGTCTCTCTTTTGAAGGAATGGATAATTACAGTTGTCAAGCACCATTAGATAGTTGGCATTTCAAACAGATGCTAGGTGCTTGTTAATTATTTGTTATGCCAAGTCTAGTTGAAAACTGCAGTCAGTGCCGATTGTGCACGGCTTTTATTCTTTTAATGGCAGCCACTTTCTATATATATATATATATGATACACAAGAGAAGCAAAACCAGAGTTGGCCTTTGTTTTGTAAAACCACATTAGCTGGGGCTTTTATCATGTTGGGGAAAGGTTTGGGAAGTAGTTCTGGGGGCTTGGTGCATCTTTAATATAGATATATGCATGTAACAATACAAGTATTACATTGTGTTATTCTGTGCAATGATCCATTTTAATATAATCTGTTTTATCTGTAGTATTAATGTTGAGCTAAATCTTCAGCTCTGGAAAGTTTGGGGCTTGATTCTGATCTCACTATGGTTTAAATTAGGGGTAACTCCACTAAAGCCTGTGGAGTTGCACTGATATAAAACTGTGGAGAGACTAAAATCTGTCATCTTGGCAATATCTTTCTTAATTCTTTGGGTTTTTTTAAATTACATTAATGTGATCTATTCCTGCCCAAACAGTGGATCTCTTTATGACCTTTGATAAAGTTCCTAGCATAAGTGTATGCATTCTGGTTTAGCTTTAGTGAATTGCCTTTCAAAAGTGCAAAAACTCTGCAAGCATTTGGGTCACTTTTGCTCCAAAAGTGC